GATGTGGCATTCTTAGATATTTCTAGAGCCTTTCTACGTTCTAATCTTTCTTTCAAATTTCGTAACATAATTCTCTCATGTTCCTTCTTGCGCATTTCAGCATTGCCCTGACACTTTGATGTGGCGTCTCCTTTCTGTAACTGGTCTTTCAGGTCTTCTGACTGTTCACAACCGGTTTTCTTTGTCAGATCTTTTTCTTGCAGCTCATCTTTGTATGGTGACAGTTCTTCAGCAGGGACTTCACCCGTTTTATCTGCCATAGCATCCACTTGCTCAGTAACACTTTGTTCCTTTTCTTTGGTGCATCTGTCTTTTTCCATTTGGTTGTTTTGTTCATAAGCAGGTTGGTGTATCTCTGCTGGAATTTTCAAGGCTGCATCACTGTGTGGCATGCTTCTATTACTCAACTCTGGATTGGTGATATACTTTTGGCATACAGTCTCACTCATCTTGTTAACACCTAATGAATTTGGCACATATAGGATACTTTGAACGGGTGTTATTTTATATGATACTTTTCTTGAGACTGGTAGAGGTGATGGAGGTGGGTTCTTTTTCATCTGCATAGCCTTCATGGGAGAAGGTAGACGCCACCCAAGTGTGGGGGATGATGGCCATTTGTAACAGGGTATATTAGATGATAGTTGTTTCTTGGTAGTAAGTTTTAAGGTCTGTTTGTCCATTTCTGGGTTCTGAACATATCAATTCAATAAGATAAAAATTGTTAGCAATTATTTTAGTGTCTTTTCTTTCTTTTCATAAGAAAATATTCTAAATAAAATACAACCATAGTTAGTTCCTTAAACCTCCAATTGTCTTTTAATGCATGAAAATGAGTTACAATGACATTTTCTTTTCTCCAGGCTAATAAGGAAAAATAGATTAAAGAAATAATTTTTAAGCTCTTCTACTTAAAAATTGAATTCTACTTCTAAATCTCAAAGAAGAGTTTGGACCACTTCTCAAAAAGTCTTCAAAGTTTGGAAACATTTCATATTAACGATAACAAAGTTCTGGAGAGTCTCCCTTTAACCTTGGGAGCTATTTTCATGCTCACCTTGGGGAACATCTTAGGAGGCATTTCCCCACCTGCCCGAGGTGAAGCTTCCACCATCACCTCAAGGAGTGCTTCCTGTTCTTGCATGATGCTTTCCCACTCACCTTGGCTGATGCTTCAACATTTGCCTCAGGGTGTGCTTCCACACTTGCCTC